TTAAGCCCAATTTCCCTTTCTTTTAGGTAAGGAGTAGTATTTTTATTTTGCATGAACTATCCTTATCTTTATATCCGTGTGTACGTTTATTGGTGAGATGATTGCAAATTAGGAGTAGTAAACGTATATTAGTATAGATGAGTGCAAGTTATTTTAAAATATACGTTCACGGATTAAAGTTATATACATACTAGTACATTATAAGCTAATGTATGTAGGATAGGTCTAAGAGTAAAAAACAAATTATAGGTTCCAAATTTAAGTATACAAAAGTGTTAGTTTGTCAAATTATTTCTTTTTAAATAATATAAACTCAACTCAATCATTTTAGTCAATCCAAATTTGTTATTTAAACGTCAAAATCTTAAGCGAATCTTCCAAAACTGGGTCCCCTATTAAACGTGATATCACATTCTAATTAATTGGTTATTAAATTTATGTTTCGATTTTTTAGGTTCCGGCTTATGTTATATCACAAGTGATCGGATCGACACTCGCGGCGGCGACTTTAAGGCTGTTATTCGGACTCGATCACGACGTTTGCAGCGGGAAACATGACGTGTTCGTGGGAACATTACCTTCGGGATCAAATTTACAGTCGTTTGTGATCGAGTTTATCATCACTTTCTACCTAATGTTTATCATCTCCGGCGTTGCAACCGATAATAGAGCGGTTAGTATTTCATAATCTTCTTATATTTCAATGAAATTATATAGTCAATTTTGATGGCTACATGTGGTTTTTAACTATTTTAAGCATGTTCGTTTTAGTTTTAGCTAACATATACTTTTAGTTTTGAACAATCTTAGTCACGGAAATAATGTACTTTTAAAGGGGGTTTTTTTTTTTGTGGAAAATGGATTACATGCATACGTTAGTTTATATCTTTGTACAAAGGAAATAATTATTCTTATTAAAATATAGTATTTGTTAGGACCAAAGTCTTTTTCTAAGTTTCTGTTTACTAGTGTTGTTACCAATTTAAGAGAAACTTAACATTGGGACCAAATGTTGCAATAAACAGATCGGAGAACTTGCCGGACTAGCAGTAGGGTCAACGGTGCTACTTAACGTGATAATTGCCGGGTAATTTATCCGTCTATATTCAATACTACATACATATTTTTTTCAACGGAAAACTTTGAAAATGATTTATGTTCATTTTTTCTTATTTTAGACCGGTATCAGGAGCGTCGATGAACCCGGGAAGAAGTTTAGGACCCGCAATGGTATTTAGTTGCTATAGAGGACTTTGGATCTACATAGTTTCTCCAATTCTTGGTGCGGTTTCGGGTGCATGGGTTTACAACACGGTTAGATATACCGATAAACCGTTACGAGAAATAACTAAAAGCGGTTCCTTTTTAAAGACCGTGCGAAACGGTAGCTCCCGTTAAGAGAAGAAAAATAAAAAGATGGCTATGTTAAATTAGACATCGGAGGTTAAGGTTGTACGTATTAATTTAGACGTAATGGGACTATTTTGGTATTAAGTGTTTTCAAATTTCGTATTAGCGCAAAAACAGGTAAACATTTATGGTTTGTTGTTTGTAACGTTATTATAGTAACAAATTTGACTAGACCTTACGTATATGGTTGCATTAATTGGTATAGTTATCTCTTTTTCTCTATTTAATGCAAAAATTATCGTCATCTTTTGGGTGGAACAACACTAAAATTTAGATAAAATTGAATTCGTCAAAACGAAACTCAAAATCCGGAGTCGCAACATTGCCAAGTGTACAACATTTTGTCCAGGGCTTGAAAACCGGACACGTGTCACCTTGTCCGGAAAACGCCAAACGCAACATCGCAATTATCCGCCACGTCACCACTCTATAATCCACGTCATATTTTCGTCATTGCAACATCACTACTCCTTATAAGACCAAATCACACCAGCCAAACTAAAGGACAAGAAAAAGACATTTGAAAGGGGAACGGCGTCGTTTTTAGCGATGGCGTCCAGTGATAAAGTTCCGGCGGCGTGTCCGGCAAGCAACAGAGAAGGTAAGGAGCCAATGGGAGATCCGACAAAGACAACCACGGCAGTGCTAGAGAAAGGATCGGCTATGATGCAATCTTGGAAACCTATCAAGCAAATGACTCTCAATATGTGTTCATTCGCTTGCTATAGCCATGATCCTGAACGTCAAATCGAAGTTCATATGTATGGCCACCGTGTAAACCAAGACTTTCTCCAATGCGCCGTTTACGATTCCAATTCCTCTAAGGCTCATCTCATTGGTAACATATACTTATATTTCAAATATGTGTTAACGTTGAGTACGTATCTAGGCTTTCTGGTAGAGAAATTATGACTTATGAATGTGTTTGTTTATTGTATTAAATCTTTAGGGATCGAATATATAGTGTCGGAGAAGTTATTTGAAAGTCTCTCAGAAGAGGAACAAAAACTTTGGCACTCGCATGATTATGAGGTTTCATGATTTCTATACATTTTTAATGTTATTGATAATGTGAATTTTGAAAATGATACGATATAATTTTTGATCGTGTACTGATAAAAAAATTGATGTTTGTAGATCCAAACGGCTCTTCTAGTAACTCCAAGGGTCCCTGAGCTCGTTGCAAAGCCAGAACTTAAGAATCTTGCCAAATCTTATGGAAAATTTTGGTGTACATGGCAGCTCGATCGCGGTAATTAATTAGTAAAATCAATGAAAATATTTCATATTTATAAAAGTGGAGATTTAAAATTAGTATATAAACCAAATAAGTTCGCACCACTCATTATCAATTGTTTTTTAGTTAGAAGCCAATCTTTTGTTGTTAAACAATGAGTTTTAATTAACTAGGGTTTTTGTTTTGTTTCAGGGGATAGATTACCACTAGGTGTACCGTCGTTAATGATGTCGCCACAAGATGTGAATATGGGAAGGATCAACCCGGAGATGGTGATGAAGAGAGATGGAGAACTTGGAATCTCGACTCCTTCCTTGAAGCAATCGAGAGAAGGAATTTGTGGACCGGAGAAGAAGAATCTGATTGCTGATAATTGGGTTCGGTTTAGGAAAGGATTTGCACTTGATGTCGTCGAGACAGAAATGAAGAGAACTGCTCCCTTCCCTTGACTTACACTTTTGCTCGAATCTCTCCTTTTTGCTTTCTTATTATATAAATGAGTCCTGAGACATTATAATTAAGAACGTAAGTTTTAGTATGGGTTTAATATGATAATGTCATAAAAAAAACATATTTATGTCTAATATGCAAGTGTTTAGGAATTTTATTTTGGTTTTTCAAAGTACTGTAAGACAATATATATGGATAAAACTCACTAATGATACACGTTTTTTTACGAATACTTCAAAGTAGAACAAGATGATAATGAAAAACACATGTTGATTTTTGATGTTCAAATCTGTTGGAATTTGTGTTTTTTTTTGTACAGATTTGTGATGGAAAAAAATCGTCAAAAATGTTTTGGTCGAAAAAGGATGAACAATTTCTAAAAAGGAAATAAATAATTCAGATATCTATTCGACTCGTACAACTATTTGTTAGCGTAAATTATAGATAATCTCTATCATTCATATGCATAAAATTAAGTTGATCCGATCTACTAAAACACACAATGATATGAAAGTAATTGCTGTTAAACGAAAAAACACACACAAGCTTTGTATACCATACAGTCGTAAAAAGTCTTTATAAAAGGCCTTTAAGTCTCTATATAGGCCCATTGGGCATTAGTTTAGTTTGGTTTTTCTGTTAAAAGATGGACCTTCAACAATACGTTGTCGTATTATGTTTCTCTTTCTGTCAAATTTTTTTAAGGATCAAAATAGCATTTGCCTCTTGATTCTCTTTAATGATCAATCGATTCATGGAAGAAGAGAAGAAGGAAGTGTATTCAGTGTGGGCATTGCCCGATGAAGAAACAGAGCCAAGATTCATAAAGCTAATGGAATATCTGAGATCCGAAGTCTCTGGTCCGAGATTCGATCCTCACGTCACCGTCGTCGGAGCAACAAATCTGACGGCGGAGGAAGCCAAGAAGATGTTCGAAGCGGCTTGCGACGGTTTCAAGGCTTACACCGCCACTGTAGATCGTGTTTCCACTGGAACTTTCTTCTATCAATGCGTTTTCTTGCTTCTCCGATCGACCCATGAGGTAAAAACTTCGACTTTGATTCCAAGATTCGATCTTTCTATCATAATTGTGAGAATCAAGAAGGGGCATTTGTGTTTGGCTTTAACAAGAACAAGAAAATGAAATCTTGGGTTTTGGTTCTAGATAAAGATATGTGTTTTGGATCAAGCTTTAGTAAATGGTTTTGGAATCTGATGTTTGTTCTGTTTTTATTACTACAGGTAATGAGAGCTGGTGAACACTGTAAGAACCATTTCCGTTGCTCCACTACCACACGTAAGCTCTTTTGACTTCAAGTCTGGTCTTTTGAAAAATCAAAGCTATAGATCATGTAACTTCGAGGTATTATTCGTTGTCTTAAGAGTAATCTTACATTTTTGGGGTACTTACTTGAAAACTCTGACCTCAAAGGTTAAGACCTTGAATAAGGTTAAGTACATTAGCCCGTGAAGTATATATTTTTGCGTAAATCAACATTTAGAAACGATACCGCGATTGGTTAGGTGAATCGCAATCGAATGTACTATCTATATATGTATGTACACTGATATAGAGTTTGAAGCTTCCTGCTTTTTGGAAGGCTTTGGATGTGGTGGTTATCTTAAGGATAATCTCTCTTTTTTCCATATACTTCTTTGTTTTTTATGTCTCAATGTCGAAAAATGTTTTCTTGTCGATGAACTATCGCAGCTTACATGCCGCATTTGAGCTTGCTTTACGCCGAGTTAACAGAAGAAGAGAAGAAAAAAGCTCAGGAGAAAGCTTACACACTCGATAGCACTCTTGATGGCCTAAGCTTCCGGTTAAACCGGCTCGCTCTCTGCAAAACCGATACCGAAGACAAGACGCTAGAGTCATGGGAGAAAGTGGCTGTATGCAATCTCAACCCTTAAAGAAACACAAAAGAAGTTAATAGTTTCTGAGTTTGTAATAAAAGGTCTCAAATAAAAATTGCTTTAGACCAATGTATCATCTCTAAGAGACCGAATAATCTTACAAAACTATTTCGATAAATATTACACCAAACTTTGTAACAATTTCACATGGCGGCTCCATTATTTAGCTAAAAGAAATGACTCATGCACAAAAGTCCAAGGGGTAAACAGTTACTAGATGAAGCTTGACTAGTAGGTAGGTGCAAGATTGAGTTATTTGGCCGTTACTACTTACTTACTTGTAAGATCTTTTGTCTGATATTATATGCTTTATGAAAAACTTATCGAATAACCAAATTAAAAAGAAACTTTATATTCAAACATTAACAAATTCAACTTTGAATAATATTCCAAAAAGACTGCATAAAATAGTGTTAAATAGGCCTCTAGATTCTCTCTAATCAACGGATTCATGGAAGAAGAGAAGAAGGAAGCGTATTCAGTGTGGGCATTGCCCGATGAAGAAACAGAGCCAAGATTCATAAAGCTAATGGAATCTCTAAGATCCGAGTTCTCCGGTCGGAGATTTGATCCTCACGTCACCGTCGTCGGAGCAACATATCTGACGGTGGAGGAAGCGAAGAAGATGTTCGAAGCGGCTTGCGACGGTTTCAAGGCTTATACCGCTACTGTAGATCGCGTTTCCACCGGAACCACCACAGTAGATCGCGTTTCCACGGGAACTTTCTCCTATCAATGCGTTTTCTTGGTCCTCCGATCGACCCATGAGGTAAAAACTTCGACTTTAATTCCAAGATTCGATCTTTCTATGCATGATTGTGAGAATCAAGACAACAACAAAGATGAAATCTTGGGTTTTGGTTCTGGATAAATATATGTGTTTTGGTTTAGTAATGGTTTTGGAATCTGATCTTGTGATGCTTGTTCTGTTTTTATTACAGGTAATGAGAGCTGGTGAACACTGTAAGAACCATTTCCGTTGCTCCACTACCACACGTAAGCTCTTTTGACTTCAAAACTTGTTTTGTTTATTGTAAAATCAAAGCGTTAGATCATGTAACTTCGTTGCCTTACGAGTCATGTTAAATTTGTGGGGTACTTAAGTACATTAGCTCGTGAAGTATATATTTTTGCGTTAATCAATATTTAGAAACGATACCGCGATTGGTTAGGTGCAAAATCTGGTAAACAAACCGAAATCGAATGTATCTACAAGTTTATTGCTTTTTGGAAGGCTTTGGATGTGGTGGTAATCTTAAGGATAATCTCACTTTCTATTCGGGGTTTTCCGTATACTTCTTGTTTCTTATGTCTCAGTGTCGAAAAACGTTTTCTTGTCTAATGATCGCAGCTTACATGCCGCATTTGAGCTTGCTTTACGCCGAGTTAACAGAAGAAGAGAAGAAAAAAGCTCAGGAGAAAGCTTACACACTCGATAGCACTCTTGATGGCCTAAGCTTCCGGTTAAACCGACTCGCTCTCTGCAAAACCGATACCGAAGACAAGACGCTAGAGTCATGGGAGAAAGTGGTTGTATGTAATCTCAACCTTTAAAGAAACACAAAAGAAATTTAGTTTCTGAGTTTGTAATAAAAGGTCTCATATAAAAATTGCTTTAGACCAATGTATCTAAAAGACCGAATAATCTTGCAAAACTATAATATTTTCTAACAGTTTCACATGGCGATTTGAATTTCCAACAGTTTCACATGGCGATCCGAATTTCTAACAGTTTCACATGGCAATTTGCATTATTTAGCTAAAAGAAATGTCTCTCAAAAGTCTTTGTTTAGTGTTTCAAATTTTATAATATTTGCGATCAAAAAGCCAAAGCTTCTTTTGATTGATCCAAAAGGCATCAGGTTAGAGTTTTTACAAGACAATGATTTGTAATAAACGTAACGCACAACACATGATCAAAATAGCGTTTTGCGTCTTGATTCTC